ATCAAATTACTTTGATAAAGTTCTATTGGCAATTAGTAAATTATTTAAAAGTCAAGTAAATAAAATATTAGAATACAAACAATTAAGGACAATTTAAACACACTAAAACAGAAAACACTTAGAACGAACGAAACAAACATTAAATTTAAAAGGGGGGATGGACTTTAATACACTACATCTCGGTCTTGGGCACAATGAGTTTTTTTATGTTTTATCTATTAGATTTTAGTGGTAAATTTGACAGATGTAGGTTAGCATGTGACAGTTCTTCTTCTGTTTCTCAATACTGTAAGTTAAGTTGTCTATTTGGACATTAGACTGAGTTAGTTATATTGTAGGATATATTTCAATTATCCGTATTGTTACATTAAATTTGATTAATTAAAGACTGTTAAAGTATGCCAATATTAAACACATCAATTTACTTTTGATATCTTAATTGAAACAATTTATAGACATTCATTAATAACAGCATATTTCATAAAACTAGATAACTTAACTTACAGTATTGAGAAACAGAAGAAGAACTGTCACATGCTAACCTACATTTGTCAAATTTACCACTAAAATCTAATAGATAAAACATAAAAAAACTCATTGTGCCCAAGACCGAGATGTAGTGCATTAAAGTCCTTTCCCCCTTTTAAATTTAATGTTTGTTTCGTTCCTTCTAAGTGTTTTCTGTTTTAGTGTGTTTAAATTGTCCTTAATAATTTGTATTCTAATATTTTATTTACTTGACTCTTTAATAATATACTAATTGCCAATAGAACTTTATCAAAGTAATTTGATAACTACAAGTTGGAAAATAATTGCACACCCACACAATTTTTACATCTAAACTTATTCATTGTCATAAAACTGTCACCTTCATAAAACAATTACTCAATAAATAACACATATTTCATAAATATATCTCTCGAATAAGTATAAATAACTTTTAATAACACAATGGTATATTATATCACTTTCATTTAACAAACAATCACACACATATCTCTTCTTCATTGGATCAAATCTATCTCCTCAAGGACTCTCCGTTTACTGTCAAACAACTGCAATAATAGAATTGAGTTCTCCATTCAACAATACATAGTAGTTTCAACCATGTTCTACCATCCATCAATTAATAGAGTACCGGCATGTAACTAATGTTTATTTTATTTATTTGCTCATTTATTAATTTATTACAATCTAATAGGACTATTTTATAACAATTTGTGGGCCTTACCTTGTCTGTTTAAATTTTTAAAACTTTTATACTTTTTATTCAACTTACTCTTTTAAATAAAACCACAGACATGTATAATTGGCATAATTATTGTAATTTACATCTACTTTGTTTATCGTTATTAGACAACACCCTAATATGGGTTTTTATTATTTCAGCATTTGTTTAACTTTGTATCGAGACCTGAGGATGCTTTGTATATTGTAGAAAGCGAAACCTGTCGTCTGATAGTTAAATTAAATTCATTGTGAGTAGGTCTTAATGATTATTTCTTTACCTAATTAAGATATATTTATAAAATTATCGAGAGGAGGATTCAGGACCATCGATATTGTGTAGAATTGTTATATTCATACAATAATTTATGTGTATTCTTTTAATGCTTTTTCAATATTTAATTTTCAAAGGATTCGATAATAAAAAAATGACGCAATAATTTTGTGTCTTTTATTATCACTTTAGTCTCAAATAAGAAATGTGAAACATTTCAACTCATATTTAATTAATATGTATAGATTTAAATCTGGCATATCCTCAAATAAAACTGTTACTTGGTGGAATGACTCCTTTAAAACAGCTGCTAAAGCATGCAGAAAAATCCTGAATAAAACGCGCAAAACTCGCAAAATTAAATATCTCATTAATCTTAAAAAAAAATTGTGCAAAATTAAAACGAAAGCTAAAAGTGGGTCAAAGAGCATCGTGGGTAAACTTTGTGAGTTCCATTTCTACAGATTTCTTCCTGTCCTAGTATGGGCAAAAATCATGCAGATAAAGGGTATAAATACAACTTTTTTAATACCTGCAATAATTTGTGGAGACAGTGTTGTTACAGACAATCAAAAAATAACGAACAGACTTTCACAACAACTCCATGACAAAACCCAAACAAACTTTTCCATTCCTTACATAAACAATAATACACCTCTTGATTTGGATCAGTTAATTCCAAACAAGTATCCTTTTACTGAACAAAAACTAAATCTAGCCATCTCTTGTACAAGAAATTCAGCAGCTGGTCTTGATAACATTCCGTAAATTTTTGCTTAAAAATTTTGACCAAGGCTTTTCAAACTCCTAGAGCTCTACAATACGATATGATGTAACAAGATTTTCCTGCCTTCCGGAGACAATCAATAATTATACCTATTAAAGAACTGATTGCATATCAAATTCTCCCAACTCTTTTAGACTAATCTCATAATCTTATTAATATGTACGCTTTGTAAATTAATAGAGAAGATAATAAACAAATGCCTACTTTGGAACTCTTAAGCCATAACAAATAAGAGCGATTTTGTCGATGTAGTCTTAGATATACAGGATACCTTCTACTAGTAAAAAACTTAAAGAATTATCTTACCATTTATATGTAATTTTGTAACTAACAGATTTTTTAAAGGTGCTGAAAACGGAAAACATCTGCATTATTTACACTTTAAAACTGTGTAACACACTCAGTTCTAAGCACACTCTTCTCAGAACGAGTAACATGGGTTTCTTCGTTCTTTTCCCAGTAAAATATGTAGTATATGCGAACGACCTTATCATATTTTGTAACTAAAATTACATGTTCCTTAATTCAAAACGTAATAGATCGGATTTATAATTGGTCGACAGACGCAGACGTTGATTTTAAATGTTCACCCTCCAAATCTAAAGTTTCAGTTTAGTAGAGAAGTTAGAGTCCCACTCAAACTTGTTAACCAATACAACTTTTTTGAAGTTAGTTTTGACATACGAGTTATATGAAGATACCACAATGAAAACACTAAAAGCAAAAGAATAAACATTTTAAAAACTCTAGCCCATCATCAATGGGGAGCTGAGGAAAACTATAGAGGTCTTATTCGCTACAGATTGGATTATGGCAGCCTGATATACATGGCCACCTGCAATAATTATCTCAAATCTCTTAATTCAATGCAAACGACTTCTTTACGTATATTATATATGCATTTAAATCTATTAGATAGATATTATATAGATGCATTAGATCTTCCAGTCTCTTTCTATTTTAGCAGAGTTTCAGCCAATCCAAAAAATCTAGTAATGAAACCAATCAATATTATTCATCAAGTTCCTGAACATAAAGATAGATTTGTGTATCCTCTTTCATAACTAGTAAAACTTACGTTAGAAAATATAGACTTGACTTTCCTTAGTACCTTCATATTCCTCCATGGTCCAAATAGCTACCTACTTTCAACAGCAGCCTATCTCGATTTAAAAAGAAGAAACTTCTAGCCGTCTTCGTAGAAAATTATTTCAAGAAGCAATAAACACCAAACAGTACAACTAAATTCTTTACGCCAACGCTTTGAAAAAAGAAGAAAATACTGTCTGTGCTGTATGTACCGAAAACACAACCTTAGCAGTACACCGACTCCAAGCCACCTATAGTATTAATAATGCAGAATAATATGAAATCCTTAAAACTCGTGAAAGGACTCTATCTAATAAAAAATCTTTAGCAATATGCACTGATTCTCTTTCTTCAATTCAGTCCATTACTAACGTATACTCAATAAAACAATAGAATGGTATGGAGAATGTAAAGTCAACTAAACAAAGCTTTGGACCTTCGCAGATGATCACTATTCTATTTAAGGCTTTAAACTGATTAGTGACATAAAATAAATGTTTACATAAAATCATATTGCAACGCAGCAGATTTTATCTTGGTTCAGAGCACGTAACGGTTTGGAAAATGAATCATTTATTCTTCAAGAATATAGCGCAAATGAAATCACACGTTTGTGAACTAATTAAAATAGTCGACAGACTTGACTAGAATGGTTGACAAAACCGAAAAAATACATTTATCAGCAATCATTACATCGTTGAATGCGGCACACCTCGGTATGCATGATTGATGTGTATACAATACATGAATTGTTATCGTTTTTAAATAATCTTTTCGGAAAAGGATAATTAAAATACAGAAACGAAAAAAGTGCACTGTTTGAGTTTTCCTATAACATAATACCACGATAAAATGCATGCGTTTTGGATGAGGAATTAATATCACACTCTAGAAATTTTCGACTTTTTTTCGTCTCAACAATTCAATTTGATGTGAATTCTTAGTAGAATAACCTATTTAAAATTTCAAAATTGAATATTACCAAAAAGTTAAAAATTAGGATGGCCCGGAAGCCTTGTCCGGGACGCCGGGACACGACTTCGTAATTCGGGCATGTCCCAGATTTTTTGGGCTAGTTGGTCATACTAAATATAATAGACCTTTATGTACCCGTATCAATAGCAGCAGCTGTCGAGACAGGTTATTTTCAATAAAAAAAAATCTGGCATAATTTAAGCTATAATCTATTATACCTATACAGCTATTCGTAAGTAATTTATTAGTATTTTGGTTTAAGTCGGTTTAATATAAATGTGTATCACTAAAAGAATTTGAGACTTTAAAGGAACCGGAACAATGGGCGTGTGTTGCAGATAGAACCGTACAGAACACGTCAAGCAAAATTGTTAAACTGCGCTTCCACTCCGCTTGGAGAGAAAATGCAGGGAATTAAATATTATTAGTAATATGAAAAACATAATCTAGTAATATTTAATAATAACCAAGTGATAAGTAAAAAATATTAAAAATGAACATTAAAATAAAGTACCAACACAAAACGTTCTGTCCACCAAATTGCTACATTTTAATAGTGTATTCGTAAAAAAGGTATAGTAGAAACCACACATGGATCATATTTTTCTAAGTCATACCTTTTTTGTAATATAATTATGTAGTACTTACCATAATTAGGTCTTATTTTAACGTCAAAAAAGTGTGTCAATAATATATCAGGCTTTGGTCCAGGAATATCAGTTAACGTAGTTCGTTGTCTTATAAAAAGACATAAATAACCCAACACAAAAATTACTAGTGGTACAACTAGTATAACGAACATGATGGATATAACACATTAACAATTTGCTTTACATAGTTCATTCAACCAATAATCATTTAATGTTATTTAAAACAATTAAAAATTAACAATATCTTAAGATAAACCATTTTTACTATTTATCTTGATTGTGCAAAATAATTATATTCTTCACACATATAAGGGACGTCTTTTGTGCGTATTTCAGTATTCTAATCAAATTGTTATTTCGGTAAATATTTGAATTATATTTTGTTAGGTTAGTTATATCCTTGGTTATTTAGTTATCCATACTTAACTACTACCTTAACACTTGAGACTAATAAAAAAATTTTACATAAGAGAGCAGCGTAAACACATTCTTAGCAATACTGTCATTTAATACGTTGATCGCCATAATGATAATATATTTTGCCTTCTCCTAGACCAATTTATTTTTTTCGCTTACAACGCATAAGAATGCAGTACAAAAACAACGCCTTTCTTAAATATACGAAAATTTCTTTCTAAACATGATTTTGAATTGCGAGGCACGGGTGCATCGCGCGGCATAAGAAATATAATTGTTAAGCCGAGGCCATGCGATGCTCACGTGCCTCGCAAATTTGCAAGAATAAACCTGGGTATTATAGCAGTATGGGTCTAACCAGTGTATCATTTAGTTCGCATCAACCTGTTATCGTAGTATCAATGGGTGATTATGAAAAAAATCAAAGTAAACTACAAAAACTAATGGATAATATGTTGTCAGAGGTGTTTGAGTATTCATCGGAAAGGTATATCGCAAGTAGCTATTATTCAGATTCATCTAATTATTCTTCATCACCTGTTCAAAAAAAAAGAAGGAAAAAAGGTACTCAAAATTTCTAATAACTCTAATAGCATAGATTAACCCAATACATAATTGGCAGTACAAATCAAAAGCGTTGAATAAGAATAGCATGCTGACAACATGGAAACTAATTATGTTAGCAGTCATACTAATGTAATACAGGAAACGATTGAAAGGGTTTTCAGAAACTTTGAGTGGGATAGTGATACAGCTGATGAAATACCTAGTGCTCCTACAGTGTTAAACTAGAATAAGGTAACCGGAGATAATTTGAAACATTTCACTGTTTTTGAGCAAGGGTTGAATATAAATAAAAATATCTCAGGTATGCATGATAACCTACCTATTAATTTTTTTACTGTTTGTGGATGACGATATCATAAATTTGATGGTACAAGAAACCAATAAATACGCATCGCAAAAAGCAGAAAGAACCAATTTACTTTAAGCTCGGATTCAACAATGGAAGGATACTAGTACTGACGAATTGAAAATATTTTTGGGTGTACAGATTTGGATGGGATTAGTTCAGATGCCTAGTGTAAAATCCTATTGGTGTAGGAATATCTTATATTCAAAGAAAATAAAATCGTTAATGTCTAGAAACCGATTTGAGCTTCTCTTCAGTCACTGGTATTTTTCTGATAATGAAAGTACAGATACTTCACACAGACTTTACAAAATCATACCCCTTCTAAATCATATCAGTCAAAAATTTCTAAACGCAGTAACCCCTTCACATAATGTTTGCGTAGACGAACCCCTCGTGCCTTTTCGAGAACGTCTTAGTTTTCTACAATACATAAAAAACAAAAATTTGGGGTAAAAGTTTTCAAACTTTATCTTGACAGAAAAAAATACTACTTCTGACAGCGTACCAACATCAATTGTTATAGGGCTTTGCAAAAATTTATTGCATAGGTTAGGAACCATATTTATAAATAACTATTATACCAGTATCGAAATTGCTCACAAATTGCTGGACAGATAAACTCATCTGGTTGGCACCTTAAGAAAAAATCGGAAGAGAATCCCAAAAGACATAGTGCAAATTAAGAATGCTTCGATGTTACGTGTTTTCTACTCTTCTTTATGGCTTGGAAGCGTGGACACTAAAACAAGTCCATCTGAATAAGTTAGCCGCCTTTGAATTTTGGTGTTACAGAAGAATCTTACGAACATCATGGATTCAAAGAACGTCAAACGTGGAAGTAACTAGAAGGATAGGAAATGAGGCGGAAATAATATTAACTATTAAAGGACGAAAACTTGAGTACTTAGGACATGTGATGAGAGGGCAAAAATACGCATTATTACAACTTATTATGCAGGGCAAAATCCGAGGAAAGCGAAATGTGTGAAGACGAAGTATATCCTGGCTTAAGAACTTAAGGGAATGGTTTGAGTGCAGTAATGCAGAATACAGAGTCCGTACATTTATAATGATTTCCAACCGTCGATAGAAGATGGAACTTAAAGAAGAAGACAAGATTGAAGCAATTGCTACAATAACATGTCCGAATAATACGGTAGAAAATACGCCACGTCTAAGGTCACTATGTCGCGTTATACATGTATACAGTACGATAAATTTTATTGTATACCTTGCTTTACGCCTATTCATATGTGCAAATTATAAAGACTGCAAAATACTGATTTCTTACGTTTTATTTTTTATTTTATTGTTGGAATACAAATTTTTGTTTATAAATCTAAGCGAATATATTTTACTTAATATATTTTCAAATTTATTCTGTTTATTTTTCAAATAAAATAATATTTTGTTGTCTAAATTCATTGATTTTTTATTTACCTAACAAACTATATTACAACAGTAAAAAGAATAAAATACATAAAATAAAAATATAATGGTATGATATTGTGATATTCAACCCTTAATCAAATCGTATATATTCGGGTCCAGGGCCGAGCCAACTAACTTAATTTGTTTATTGGGCCATCTACTCTTATTTCTCATAGCATAGCTACTAAGGTAGATCTACCGTTTTCCACCTCGATCGACCGTACTACCATTTTAACACCTTATTCTACCGCATTTTTTAATTTAAAGCATTTGACAAAACATAATATACTTATATTTGATTAATGATTATCTTTTTGAGGCTTCAACGTTGGCGCCAACGTTGAAGCCAACGTTGGGTTAACTGTGTTCCCACGTTCGGTGAGGCATTCTCACATTGTGTTAAGATATCAACGGCAACACCAATATTGGCGCGAATCCCTTTGATGTGTATGCAAAAACCGACACGCCACGGACTACTCACAACGTTGGAGCAAGTCATAAAAACGTTAGCGCCAACGTTAGCTCCAACACAGTTTCGTCGGTATACACATTGTGGTAATTAAGAATGTAATACATTAAAAGTTAAAGTTTCTTTGATTTACTCAAATAAACCCCTAAATCCTAGGCGCTGCCAGTTTTGTCGGTATACACATTGTGGTAATTAAGAATGTAATACATTGAAAGTTAAAGTTTCTTTGATTTACTCAAATAAACCCCTAAATCCTAGGCGCTGCGTGACTTGTAATAAGACGACGATAATCAAGTTATATAGTTATTTAAAGTTCAATTATAAAGTTATTTATTACACATATTCAAGTGGTCTGTGGATAAATTATATTATTAAGTGTATAGTGTATATTTATTAATACTTAATAATGACTGACAGTTTTAGTGCTAAAATTGTGAAAAACAGAAAGTATTCCCAGATATATAAAATCTCATTGGAAGATAAAAGTAAATTTAAAGGCTGGCTTGGAAAAAGTAAAAGTCAGAGTAACCACAAATTAGTTACCTATATGCAAATGTCAAATCTATCATAAAAACTCTTTTGGACTGTTTTACTATGTTACCGACTCAGGAGATGTATTTTGGTTCGGACATTGCTACGTCTAGTTTAGATAAAAATGATTTAGAATTTGTAAAGTTAAACTGTTTAGAATTTTATATAGAGGGTCTGGACCAATTATTAAAAAGGTTTCCCATAAAAAATAACATCTTGGGAGCACGTCTTGGAAGATTTGCAGTTCATAAATCCTGATTTGGTGCGAAATAGAAAAATTAGTTCAGTTGCACATATTTCACTAAAATTGCGCAATATTGGGATAAATCAGGGCGATCTTCAATCATTAGGTAATAAGTGAAAACTTTTATGAAACATTGAGTTGTCTGAATCTAATGATATATTTGCATTTTGGAGTCAAGTAAGTGAAATGGACTATGGTAGTGGACTAAATATGTTTCCCAATTTATCTCTACTTGTTTTTAATGTATTAACCTTACCGCATTCGAGTGCAAATCTAGAAAAAAAATTTTTTTCGATTGGCAATACATTAAAATAAACAGAAAAATAAATTAAGCACATAGACTATAGAGGCACTAACATAGCAAGATAATAGTTGACTCCGAGGGAACTTGCTATAATTTTAAGGTAGAAAATAATATGCGAAACCTTCTTAATAAAAACATTTAAGAGCAAAACTAATGGTTGATTTTTTTATGTTGCATTTCGTTTTATCCTATTTTTAGGCTTAGTTTTGATTTCAGTGAATGTTTTTGAAGTTTTTTGAAACTTAGGTTCACTTTTTAATAACAATTATGTTTTAAAAAAATTTATATGTATTCTCTGGTGAAAATTATTTTCAAATGAACGTACTGTTATCAACATGCATTTAAATAGAGCATTGGCATTAGATAATATAAACAACAACAAATTTGTCATCTGTATGGTATTTTTACCGTTTTCTACCGTATTTTTCAAGTTCGCCCTACCTACACTGTAAAACATTACATGCGAGACATATATGTGTGCGGCGCGGCCTGTTGTGTTAAGGTGCGTCCAGACTTTCACACGCATGCGGTGAGAAGCCACGCATATGCGTGCGTACTCAAACCATTCGAGCTCAGAGCATTCGTTGAAATTATAAATCACCGCATATGCATGCGTGCTCAAGGCGCTCCATCCATTCGTGACAAAATGTCTGAGGAACTGCTTATGGTTAGTGCCGTGTTTGTGGTTATTAGTTCATTAAAAAAGAAAAACAAAGGAAAAATAGACAATGGTGGACGACGCATTTATTTAAAAGAAGAACCCTACAAATGAAGTACGATTTACTAGTAGATTTGGCGTTAGAACCTAATACTGGATAATAATTTCAAAATTTTACACGTATGTCAGTAGAAGACTTTGAACGCCTTTAGAGTGATATAGGCCCCGTAATAAAGAAAAACAACA